ATGCTTTTTTTAATTAAAAAAATTAAAAAATTAAAAAATTTTTACAAAAAAGTACATCTACATTTCAGAATTTTTCAAGCAGAAGATAAATACAAAGAATAGTTGTGGATGTGAGGATGAAAAGATGTGTAAGCCAAGGAGCAGAACAAGAGGGTAATGTGATAGGAAGGAATCCATTCAATGCAGCTCATATCGCAAATGAAAAGCAAATATGGAAGGCACATTTTACGGTTTCCAGAAAACACCCCTTATTAAACCTCCCCTTGTGCCCCCATCAGCTTCCCTTCAGAACGTCTCCATTTCTAGCAACAGTGGCAAGTACTGCTAAGGAACTGCTCTCCCAGTATTCATGTCCTGTTTATTCTTCTAGTGAACGCCTCTAAAACTGCCCTTTCATTTTCTCTGGCAAGCATACCAAATTATCTCCGTACTCCTGAACCATTCATAAGTTCATTCATTCATATTTGCACTCATTCGGACATTAATATACAGTGCTAGAATACAAGCTACCCCCACGAATAGGAGACAGAGACAGACTACAATGAACTATTTCAATAGCAACACCACTTTATTAGGACCTGACTGTGTGCAACTGCTAGCTACACAGTGACCACACTGTAAGTCCAACAACAACCCTAAACCACACATAATCATCTTCTAGTGAAATAGAAACTGAGGCACAAAGAGCTGAAGTCACTTGGCTTGGATCATCGTGCTAGTAAACTGCTGGTAGAATCCACAGGCACCCTAGCTCTCCACCACTTACTTGGTGCATCTACTGCATGGACCCCAACAGTCCTCCCAACCCTGCCTAGACAGGGTTATCAAAGTCTTCCTCATTCAGCAGCATGAGTTCTTATAACCTCTGGGCTGAAAACTACCCCCCAATTATTCCTTTAGCCCGACCTTCAGTCTGACACTCAATCAGAAAACAAGGACTGACTCCATCTTTTTTCCTTACTAGCTCAACTCTCATAAAAGCAGTTAATATCTCTAATCTTCCATTTTCTCACTCATGAATTGGGGATAATCTTAAGATAAACGTAGTCTTAAGATAATCACAAGATAAAACTATGAAGTGAAAAAACACAAACATGTTCAATAACGGAAGTTACAGTTCCCAACTTTTGTACACAAACCTTTTATTTTACATAATGAACATATTGTTTCTTTTACAAAATCGGAGTTCTCCCTCAAATCACACTATCACCTACCCTCTGTTAACAGGCACTCCATACACATCTGCACCATGAATCCAAGTCCAATCTTATTTTCAAGGCCAAAGTCAAATTCTACTTTCTCCAAGAAGCCTTCTCTAGTCACCCCAATGAACATCACTCCTAAGTGCCACTTGAGAAAGAGAAACAAAGAAGTGCATATTCAAGATCCATTATGAGTTGGGCACATAGTTCAGTTGGTAGAGTACCCACCAAGAATGTACAAGACTCTGGAGCGTGATCCCCAGCACTGCATAAGGGGTGCACACCTCTAATCCCTGCACCTGGGAGGTAGAGGCAGGAGGATCAGACAAGGGGTCTACAATGTACTAACATTTTCTAATCTCTTCTATTTCACTTAAAATATGAGTCTTCATTAATTTTATTTCACAATCACTGATAAGCAGCAACCCAGTATTCAAAATACACAACCATAAAAGATATAAAGCTACATAAATAGGGAATTTGTTATCAAAAAGTATGTAATCTATTTGGAAACAGAATAGTCAAGCAAGTCTGTTCTGAACCCCCTCCAATCCTGCCTTGATAAAACAGGAGACATGCTTATTGACCTGCATTTCCCTATCACAGAACATAAGTAACAAATTGTCTGAACTATAGACATAACAAACAGCAGGCAATTCAGAGCCACTTTTTGAATGAACTGAATGATGTTATGGATTCTCAGAAGGAGAAACTGCATAGAATGAACTTTCTTCTCACTGAGCTCTTAATACTTGAGGCCTAGACCAATCTTTGAACGAACTGATTTGGCTAGTTTTGTTTTGCTTTCTTTGCTTGAGGGAGAGGAGGGGCAGGCAGGGCTCAGAGATGAAGGAAATAGAACTCAGGGCCCCACACTTGTGAAGGAAAGGCTCTACCACTAAGTTGTATCCCCTGCCCAGGAATAATCTTTTTGTAGTGCTGAATGCATCAAGAGTTCAAAGAGTTCAATGGTAGAATTCTTATCTAGCAAGTCTAAGACAGTAGTTTCTAGTAACAGTAGTCTTTGCCAAAGTCAATCAAGGAAGAAATGTCCAATTACAATAATAAGTCTATTACTGGCCTCTACACTACATCCTTAGTACTGAAAGTGGGATTCCCTGATAAATATTGCCCTAGAGTTAGTTAGAAATGCACTCTCCAGCCCCACCAAGACCTACTGAATCAGAAACCCCATTTTAAGCTGATCCCTGGGATTTTCCTAATATACATTAAAGGTCATTCTTGACAAAACTGAAACTCGGTTTCTGAATTCTCAGAGGGAGTCAATTATCTTTTCCTGTGTTCTAGAGAGACAGGAGAGATAAATAAAGCTTAGGTGGCAAGAAAAAAAAAAAAAGCCAGAGCAAAATGTATTATATCAAAAAAAAAAAAATCCCCTGAAAAATACACATACACTATCTGAACATTAGCGCATGTGTATACCTGAAGGCTTTATTTAACAAAGAACACAGTGCCAGACAGGAGAAACCTCCCTCTGGGGTGTTGGTCAAAGAGTAATCCAACAGACTCACAAAATGACACAGGCTATTGCCACAGCCCTTAATTACTCCCCAGAGCTTGAAGGTAAGACCCTACTGATGAAGACAGGACACACTTCAGACACAGGACTTGGTGCAATGGAGCAGGAACCCACACGGAAGCCTCCTCCCTGAAGACTAGCTCTCATAGAGCTAAAGGATACTATGCAAGCTGCTAAGGGGGAAAGCTACTCTTTAGATTTCATAAAGTTACATACAGAACCATAACCCTCATCAGACTTCAAGAAGTTACACACATAACCACACCCCACTGTCAGAGAAATCAGGGATATTATTGATCCAAGCTATAAGTTCAGTGAGAAATAGGGCTGGATCACCAATTGAATATTAAATGAAACTTTTAAGAAACATACAAAAACCCACCTGCCTTCTTAGTACATAGACTTTACAGTCAAGAAAATTATAATTTCACTGGTCAGAGTAATATATCTTTAATGCCCTGGATGTGGTTACTGAAGAACATAGTGGCAATATTGAGGCAAGAACATCTTTTAACAGTTCTTGGTCGGGAAGTTACAGGTTACAGGTACGTTTCCAAAAAGTCTCTTGTAACTGCAGTGCATGGAAACCTGTGTAATAAAATGACCTAAGCGCCATAAATCGGATCTCCTAACACCTTCTCTGATTCAAAGACTAAAACCACTCTAAATCACCACAGAAAACCTCAAACCAGGAGTCCACTCTGAGAACTTGCCAAACCCTCAAGTCACAACCCTATCATTGCAAACTGAGACAAGATCTGTGGCACTGGACTAGGGGGAAATACACCCTGCTCCTACTAGAAGGGGATCACCGGGGATGAGGAGAGACTGCAGCCATTCGTCATCTTACTGATAGACACCACCTCTCCATCCGAAACCGAGAGACGTCCCTGGCTGGGCTGTGCCCTACACTAGAGCTGCAAAGTTGGGCGCACATCCTCGCCCTGCCACAAGCTGGGGATGGCAGCACGCCGACCACCCCGACTCCCAGGCTACCCCAAAGCTCCCCACGGAGGGCGACCCCAGGCGGCCCCGACCCTCCCCCGGGGGGTGAACCCATCCTCCACACCGCGCCAGGCCCGGGGCTCACCAGGTACAGGGGGGCATAGATCCTCAGGGACTCCTCCAGGGCTCCCCAAGTGATCTGCAGGAAGGAGACCCGGCAGGAAGGGTGCCAAGTGTGGCCGATCTCGTAGCAGTTGTGCGGGATGGACTTGCTGAGGGCCGCCATGACGAGCCGCGGCGGCCGGATCCGAGACACCCGGGCCTGGGCGGGCAGCGGCGGACACGCTACGGCGGGGCTGCGGCGCAGGCCGCTCGGCGTGCGGAGAGGGGAAAGGTCACGGCGGGGATTACTCGGGGCCAAGTCCTCGGATGTTGGCCGCTCTGCGTACAGCAGCGTGAGGGGGCGGAGCGCGCACGGCGGAGGCGGGGAGAGGCGGCGCGTGCGCGCTCCCGGGGAGAGCCGGGCCTCGGGAGAGCGCGCGGTGAAACAAGGACTTCCAGTCTCCGCTGGCGCCGTTAGCTCCTGGTCGCGCCTCCCTCCCAGGCCTGCCGCGCTAGAGCGCATGCACGCTGATGAGAGCGCTCTAGTGGGTACCTCCATGGCCAGGCTGTACTCCAGTCTCTGCTCTCTCAAAGCCTAGTCAAGTCGGGCAGAAGTCTTTGTTGGGAGCGGTGGAGAAAGAGGTTCTTCATTGGATTAGCCAATGAAGCATTGCCCAAGACTGCCAGTTCTCCCCCAGAGGGCCAGGTGATAACCTAAGGCTGCCTGCTGTTTGCAAGGCAACCTGATGTGCCTGGGAAGCCCTGGGACGTCCTGTCCTATTTGGCTGTGTTCTTGTACCGACTGTGTGGAGAAAGCGCAAGTTGTTCAGCCTGACCAAGTCCTAATGTCTGAGCAGACCTATCTATCACAGTTTAGTGCCAGGTGCTCATCACTGAATTAGTGGACATAGCACAGACAGCAGTGGTACGTTAAGACCTGGCTGGAGAGTTTGGTCCGTGATTAATTGGCATGGCAGGAGACCTGCCCTATAATCTTCGTGTTCGTTTCCCTGTGTGTAATAACCTGATTTCTTTGGATTTCTAGACACTTACTACGTTTAGATGGGTCCATTCTATCATCTAGTCTTCATTCTTTCTACATTATTTAGTAAACCAGTACTATCTTCTGAGCCCAATTTGAAACCCTGGAGGGGACAGGGGTTGTGAAAAGATATGTTTCTATTGTCATAAACTAACAGCTGTGTGCAAGAGTCAGCTAACATTTGTATAACATAATGTCAGGTTGGGCAAATGCCAGCAAATAGCTGAGGTTCTAATACTATGTAAAATGGCAAGAATAGATATTGGAGAACTAATTGCATCAGCTCTACGTCTCTGGCTACCCAAACATCTGGACACTTTGTTCTTCCCACATACAAATATGCTTTCCCTTCCCAAGAGACAACCTAGTTACCTAATTACCACCTCTTGCTCAAAGTCCAAGATCTTCCAGAAAGCAGACGCAACTCTCCTGTTCAAATTATCACCCCCAATGAATGTGTCCAATGCTAGAGTAGGAAGAAGATAATCACAATTTATTTAAGATCTCTAATTCAAAAAGAGGGTCAGAAACAGCATGAGCTTGTCCTGGCAATTACAGAAATAACAATACAAGCTTATTTAACATCAATAATCCATTTCTGAAAACCTGATGATCTTCAAGAAAATTGCTAAAGTTTTAAATGAGGACAATAAAATGTGTTACACATGGACAATCCTAAAATGTTTAAAGTGTTTAAAATGCCAAATATAAATAACAATCTGTCATGTTTCTATGCACATTATTTTTTAAAAATCATGTTTTAGTGTGAGTCCATCCACTGGAGCCTGGTCAACCTACCATTAAACAGAACTGAAGCTCCCCCTCCCAACAGCCACCAGTTGCCAATAGTTCCTCAGGTAGGGCTGAGTTTTCATCTACCTCCCCATATCCAAGCTGGGATTTTGTATAACTTGAGCTTCCATGAGACTTGAGCATGCTGTCACCATTGCTGTGAGTTCATATGAGTAATTCCCCAGCTGTCTGGAAAACTGTTCCCTTGTGATCATTACCATCTGTGGCTCTTACAGCCTTTCTAGCCCCTATTCCATAATCATCCTTGAGCCTTAGGAGGTAGAAGTTTGATACAGGTGTCCTGTTCAGGGAGGAGCACTCTGCAGCCTCTTCTCAGCACATACACAAGTTTGATTCTATAGGCATATGTATGTACATATATGTATATATCTAATAGAGTACATGAAATTAGGTGGGGGTAGTAAGTGGGTGCAGATAGGAGTGGGGATCTAAATGCAATCAAAATATATTTATGAGATTTGCAAAAATTTATTAAAAAATAAAATCAATCAATCAAAAAAAAACTTAATGATAAAAAGAATGTTTCAGGGCTGGAGTGTAGCTCAGTAGTACAGCACTTGCCTGACATGCTGGAGGCTCTGAATTTGATTCCCAGCACCACACACATAAGCACACATGCACAGGTACAGATACACATATGCACACACATACACACACACACACACACACACAAACTTTAATCATCAAACAATATGATTGGTAACAATAAGTTGCTTCTAAATATAATAACAAATGAAGTTTGCATACCTCATAAAAAGTCAACATGTTTACCTTGTGGTACAGAAAATATCAATAGCTAAGGAAACACCTTTTAGAATTACAATTAAAACCAGGAAGTTTCTTTTTTAGTTTTTTTACTCTTTTATTTTATGTGTATGAGTGTATTGACTGCATGTGTATAAGTGTGCCCGTGTCATGCATGGTCCACAGAGGTCAGAAGAAGGCCTCACATCAGATCACTTGGAACTGGAGTTACAGATGGTTGTTATCCGCCATGTGGGTGCTGGGAATTGAAACTGGGTCCTCTGCAAGAGCAATCAGTGCTCTTAACTGCTGAGCTATCTCTCCAGCCCCAGGAAGTTTCTTTTAAATAACAATTAAATGGAGGCTTGAAACTTAAAGAAATTTAGGAAGAGCAGAATTATTGTCACTGATGCCAAATGACGGTGCTGATAGATGGGTAGCAAAGAGACCATTTCAGGGAAGCTCATAATCACAGGTAAGGAAGGATAGAATCCAGAGACACTCCAGAGCAGGAAGGCATTAAATCCTTCCAGAGATTTTTCTATACTTCAGCATAAAAAAAAATCTCTTGCAAAACTAGCAACTTTCTGTTGTTCACATTTTTAATTTATATAGTATAAGAAGACATACAGTATTTAAAAAAAAAATAAACAAGCTTTTCATCACATTGCCATTAAGTTTAAGGGCAATGTACATATTACATTTGAATGGGTTATCTGTTCCCTCAGGCTGGGGATGATAGTGCTTGACTGGACACTTTCTTGGACCTTCGCTGATTCTTTTTCAAAGAAAAGGAGGGAGAAAAGATGGGAAAAAAGAAAGGGAGGGAGGGACGAGTCAGTCAGGCTTTAGCATTCATCAACAAGGTAAACCAAAGTTTCTCCAGAGAAGATGCACAATGAATGGGTAGGAAAAAACTAATCTGACAACTTTGGTGGAATCCAAAGACTTTGAATACATGGCCAGTTGAAATGATTGTTCTTGTAATATTCTGGCACCACTGAAGGTGTCAGGGAAAATATTGGAAAAGCTCTTAAACTCTTTTTCCTACAGTATTCAATGTCCACCTACGCTTTGTGAAGTCAGCAAACTTTTCAAGGTTGTCACATATAGCACAATATTTGCTGCACCATAGTTTCAAATTTTCCCCCATCGATTTATTTAAATGAATATTTTCTGTTTTTAAGACATAAACATAGGGTTGAGGATATGGCTCAGTTGGTAGAGTGCTTGCCCAGCATGCACTAGGCCTTGGATTTGATCACCAGCATGGATGACATAAATAGCCCACACCTGTAATCTACTCCCAGAGCACAGGAGGTGGAGGTAGGAGGAGCCTCCTTTGGCTATATAGTGAATTCCAGTCCAGCCTGGGCTACATAAACACTCTCAAAAAAGCAAACAAATGCAAATCTAAATTTTTGCCATCTAAACATTGAAAACAGATGTACTGAGAGATATGTGTTCTCTTGCAGACTAGGCAGACTATGCTTCTGCCAATGAAAGTCACTTCAAATTTTGGGAGTCTTTTCATATAGCAAATTATAATCTAGTCGATTAAAGAAAAAAGCCACACCCTAAGTCCTTGAAACAAACACTTTCTATCTTGGGCTGAGTCTGGAAACTGGTGGAAAATGCTTTGCATATGCTTGGAAGCCCCTTTGTCCAACTAAAAGACACGGGGAGAAAAGTTTTAAAGCTCTGAACAGCTGCAACAAAGATTCCTGTAGCTGGACCTGTATTTAAATTTTCCCTTTTAAAAATGCCTTGATTCAGAGCCTTTTACCATCCAGAGAAGCAGGGAATGAGAAGCAGTTATCTTTTTTTTTGATACGAGGGTCCTAAATTCGTGATATTTACTTGAAATTCTTTAAAATGGAGAATTATGTCTTCATATCTAATCACATTTGGAATTTAAAAATCTACTGATACTGTCAACATTCCACCTAGAAGTTTTAACGAAATGCATAAGTTTATTAGATATAGAAACTATATCACATTTTAACAGACAACATTGTCAACATGACGCTACCATGTGACCTGGAGTCTTTTTTTCTCTAGCCTCTGATAATTTCCTCACTGCAAGTCTTCAATAATTGCCACGATACTCTCAAATAACCTTAAAAACTATTTGATTACACTTTCTGGGGCTGGAGAGATAGCTCAGCAGTTAAGAGTACCTGCTGCTCTCGAAGAGGACCTGGGTTCAATTTCCAGCACCTACAATGGTGGCTAACAACCCTCCTAACTCTAGTTCCAAGGGAATCTAATGCCCTCTTCTGACTCCACCAGCATTGCACAACTCCGATGCACTTACACACATGCAGGAATAAATTAAAAATAATAATTTTTTAAAGTATTTGGTTATACTTTCTATAGAATACACAGTATCTGATTATTCTTTGAGAGGAAAACTACAAAGTCAATAGACAGTAGGCAGGAGTAGGTGTTTAAAAGAATTAGAGGCCAGCCACAGTTCTAAAGAGCCAGAATCTTTCAATATTTCTAAAGAAGGAAAGTGTAAGAATGGGATTAGAGTCAAAAAGGAAGGAGCCATTGAGACCACTGGAGCACATGCCTAGGTGTGGGAGCTCTTGTCCTGGGACCTCACCGACAAAACTCTCCCTACTACAGAACTGACCCATGGGCTTTCTTGAACAAATGTTACTGAACATTTCACTTATCAAGCTAACCCTCTTTTTCTGAAAATAAGTATATCAAATGGATTTATAGTATGGTCTGGTTTCTCATGAAGATCTGTCTCTGCCAA